GTGTGTGTGTGTGTGTGTGTGTGTGTGTGTGTGTGTGTGTGTGTGTGTATGTGTGTGTGTGAGAGAGAGAGAGAGAGAGAGAGACAAGTGGTAGGCGCTCACCTTCATGGCTGCCCGCCGGTCTTCCGCTTCCCGCCGCTGCTTCGAGCCGATGGTGTCCTGCCATGTCCCTCCCTCCCTCCCGCCGCTGCTCCGTCCCTCGCAGCGTGTCTTCCTCCCTCCTTTGTGACGTGAAGATTTGGACACCGGGAAAACAGCCGTCCTTCTTCTCCAAAAATTTTGTGTGGGAAGGGCCAGCCGAATTCGAAATTTCGGATTCGGCAGGCCCTTCGCCCAAAAAAAATTTCGGAGGCGGGGCGCAGCCGGCTTCCCGAGTTGCGCGCCCGCCAGTCATTTTTGCCGGGGTGAGGGCCCGCCCTCCGAACGTAAACCCAAATTTTATTTCCCCCTCCCCTATCCCTATTTTTTGCTGTGCGGGGCGCCACGGTGTGCTGTGCGGTGCGCGGCGCTACGTGCGCAATCGTGTGCAAACCGGCGCACCGTCGTGCGCTGCAACTATGGAATGAACTCAAGAATTCATAGTCAAACACCTTTCCTTGATACACCCATCCGAATTTAACTAAGAAGAATGTTTTACAATTATTTCCAGAATACGCCCTCATTCCATACGAAATAGTAAATACCCATAGTAAACTACTGATTATAACAGAAGGACAATAGAAAAACATACACAGTCATGAAAAATCACAAGAAAACACACAACAAACCAGCGGGGCATACCAAGCGCATTTCCTACTTCCCCCTATCCAAGAACGCCTCCCTCCCCTCAAAACCTCACCTCCCTCTTCATCGGCTCCCCTTTTGTCGATTCAACCCACCTTTATCACGGGCAACGTAGAACAAGACCTTAAAAAATCAGCATGAGAAGATCAGCGCTTGAACATCTCATCTGCCGAGAGATGGAATCCGAATATTCGAACCCAAAATAGCCAACTGGCACGAAGACCGCTGAAAAGAAGGTCCGAATGGAACAACACAACCTCCCCATCTCCACTCCCTCCCTCCTCGCAGTGTCCCTCCTCCCGAACAGCAAGGCAGCAACGCTAACTATCTCCCACGATGACACAACAAGTCTATACCCCGCCGACCTTTCCAAGCCCCACACCCATCAACCTCAACAACCACCGGCCTTCCACCATCACCCCGTGCTTACAGCTCGTCATCCCACACCCTGCATCGTCATCATCACACCCTCACCGCTCGTTGCCACGCCCCGCTCTCTCACATCCCGCGAGCTCACCTGTCATGCTGCCTCGAAAAAGTTCCCGTCAAAAACGTGAGTGCGGCGCACAACTGTACCACAGGGGGCGCAGCGCTCCCGGCCGCGTTGTGCCCTTACCCGGCCCCGACTTAGTACTTCCTGCATCAATTTTAGGATTTTTTTTTTTTAACCTGGCAACCCACTCCCTTGCTCACCTGGCCGTTGCACCTCTCCTATTTGCCTCTCTTTGGTATCCCCCAGGCTGTCCTTTTGAAATTTGTTAATGACTGTGGGCGTGGTTAGACACTCCTCGAGGACGTGAAATCCACAAGGACGCGCTCGTTCCACCTATCCTTGGGCACAAAATTATTGAAAAAGAAATGTGAAAACGCCACAAGGAAAATCCCTTGTGGCGTCCTTGTGGTGTCCTTGTGGCCTCAGCCAAAATTTCCTTATCCCCAAGGGACACGAGGTCCCTTGGACCACAAGGAACCGTGATTCACGGAGTGGCGAAGACATGCGTCGACGGAGAGTTTCGGTTCTTGGGTGGTCCAAATGTTGTCCAACGGCGTTAGAACGACATCCCCGCCCTCCAACGTTTGTGTACTACCCCAATGGTCCCTAACGACTACTGTTGGCGGTGGGCCTCCATCGGGTGCCATTGTCATTTTCAGCCGGCATCATGCAGTCTCCCGCGCTCGAGGAACGTCAGCAACGGTCGGGAAAATATTTTTTCCCTGCGACACCTTCAGTCCATCCACGATTTCTGCACGAACGACGTATTCCCACGCGTGTCGTCATGTGCTGCATGCCCGACAAGACTCTTGCCTTCTCCGCCATCGTGTGGTAGATGTCCTACAACAGACATGGAATTGCTTCCCTCTCCACTGTGCAGTTCATGGCCGACCAGTACCGCAGGCTCCCAACCTCACGCCCCCTCGCAGCCTCCCGTATTGGGTCGCTGTTCACAGTTCTAGGAGGGGCGTGGCTGAGGATTTTTGGCCGTAGGGGTTGAGTCTCCCGGACGGAACGGGAGACTCTTGTTTCGTGCCAGAGGTTACCCCGGAGTCGAACTGTCGTCCCGAAGTCCTGTGGGGGTCGGATCACTCCGAAACGATAAAATCAGAAGGGTTTCCGCAAAAACGAATTGTCGTCGTGCATCAGGACGGAAAAAGGCATCAAGGGGAGAGGGCCATGGCGGCGGAAGACAGAAACTCCGGCCGTCAGGGGTTTGGGGGATAGGTGGTGGGTTTGAAGCCTTCCGGCCTCGTCATCGGCCTCACGAAGTGACCGGACCATCGGGTTTTTGCTGCAGAGGTGGTTGGTTCGAGGTCTTCAAGCCTCGTCGTCGGACTCGCAAAGTCCGCGCGGAAGTTTCCGAGAGGGTGAAACGGCGGGAGGACTCGCTGGCATCCGAATTCGAAATTGCGTGGGCAGCGCCCCCGCATTACGGGAGAGCTCGGGGAAACGTGTCGCTTCCTCGTAACCCAGGACCAAGCGTCGCCAAGAACACGAGTCCCCCTGGCGACACCAGTGACAATCAAACCGCGGCCGCCACGCGGTGTGCGCGGCCGACCAGGGCAACATAGTTAATCCCGTATAGGGCAAAATTAGAGTCGGGGAATCAAAACGATCAATCAAGACAAACCCGTTCCCCCTTATATCACAAGCCTGAGGCGGGTCTTGCCAACACACTTGCTCCGTCCGCCTCAGCGCGCGCTGTACATCCGCATCGCAATACACGCTGTCGTCATCTGTGATGGGGAAGGTCGGTAGAGAGATGAGACGATCGGAGGTACGCGATGAACACAGGCAAGATCCTGCGCTCCCGGTCATCCGAACCAACACTGACTCCATACAACACTCGACGCAACTCCTCTCTCAAAAGTGGGTGCGTCGAGGGAAGATGACGAAATCTAAGCTCTCTACCCTTGCGGGGGTGTCGACCGTCCGCGCGGACGCAGGCGGTTGACGTTACCAGGACAGGGACGAGAAGTTCAAAACCGATGACTATCAGTTCAAAAAGGAAGGCGATCGAGAGAGAGAGTGAGTTGCGCCGAGACCGCGCGTGCGCGCAGGAAAGGCCGCGAAGGGGAGGGGAACAACGGGTTCAACACACTCGTACTCCTAAGCATACGGTCCCCCAGTTCAGTTTCCTCGTCCCCGCCCGGACAAGTACATACACACATACATGCATGCAATCAACAACCCTCGACAAGACATTTAATCA